GCTGATGTTCGGACAAGTGTGGTTATGGGTGCATGACTGAATTGGAAGAATTGTGAAATGGAGATGGGGTTGTAATTATTTTGGGTACATGTTAAGGAGTGGTGGAATTCATGGCTAAACATAAGCTCAAAATTAACGAAATCAGGGATGATGCTTTGGGTTGTTTTGACTAGGCCAGTTAACGTGGTTATTTTGAGGATGAAAATGAGAGGCAAGAGCTATAATCCAGTTTGGAAGATGGTACATTCAAGTCAACCGAAGGTGAAGAGTGGTTGTGTCGGTCTATCAATGTCGTTATTTTGAGGTGAGTGTAAAGGGGGTAAATTCTACGCCTTACGTGTTCTTTCAAGAGTTACAAGTTTTGAGTATTTTGATAAAGTGAATGTCGTTGTTTGATTGTGCTTATGGTTGATGATATGTGATTTTGTTTGAGATGTGCTTATGGTTTGATTGTGCATGGGTTTTATTTAAATTTAAGCTTTAAGTTTATAAGTTATTGTTGAAGTTAAGAAGCAAGTTCTTTTTAAGAAGTAACTCACCTTCAAGAAGGTGAAGTCATTTTAAGCGTTTTTAGTCACTAGCGCCAGTCCGTTGCCATTTGAGATTTTCAGATAGAGCAGCAGTTATGCTCTGGAGATCTTTGAGACAGAGCAGCAGTTATGCTCTTGAGACTTTTAAGATGGGCAGCATTTATGCCCTTGAGAATCGTGGTGAAGAGCCACCACGATAAGTTTAAGATGTTAGGGGGATGAATCGTTACGACTTCCCTAACTAAGTTTAAGTTTAAGGAAAGCCTTGATGGCTTCTCATACGTATGAGTTGGCAACCGGACTAGCTAGTGAGGGATCCCAGTGTCAGTCAAGTATTTAAGTTGAGATTTAAGCTTTAAGAGTGGAGAGTAACAGTAACTCCCAAACAGTTTCAAGAGTTAAGCTTTTTAGTAGTGGAAGTACAAAACAACTTCCACTCAGTTAAGTCAAGTGACCAAGTTTTAATAAGATGTTAAACGTAAGGGCGTAGACTGACCCCATCTCACTCACCAGTTTGAAGAGCTAGAGGAGCATTTAGTGAGCAGCGAGTTCGAGTGAAGCTAGCTAGAGGAGGACGGTATGAGCGTCACAGAGGATGTCTAGTCAGAGTTTTTCACACAAGCAGCAAAACTTGAGACTAGTTAGTTATTACGTTTTATGATTATAAGTATAGACTGGAGATCAAGTTGAGTTTTTAAAGTTTGAGTTTAATTTGCCCACATGTTAGGGCTTTGCTTTGAACTACAAGTGTGTGTTTTCAGTATTTTATTTATGAAAAATTTTCCCGCTGCAATTTAAGATTTGAGTATTTTATTTATCAAGGGCATTTTAGTAAAAGTAGTACCTGGCCGGGTTAGGGTGTTTCAACCAGGATATCGTAACACTGGTACATCTACCACTCCACTAGTACATGTACCACTCCATTTGTACATGTACCACTCTTTGTGATAAAAAATAATCTAGAATATAACCAATATAAGTTACAATGAATTTATCTCTCTCAACCACAGTGATTAAAAAAATCACTGTGTTCATAATATGAAAAAAAAAGCAGGATATAACCAATAGAAGTTAACAGGATATCACTACACTGGTACATCTATCACTCTACTGGTACATGTACCACTCCATTTGTAAATGTACCACTCTACTATTATAAAAAAAAACGGGATATAACAAATATAAGTTACCATGAATCTTATTTCTCGCAACCACAGTGATAAGAAAAATCAGCATACATCATAATATGAAAAATAAGTTGCAATCCTACTGTGTCTTATTTTTTTTTATGGCTCATCTCAGCATTCAATTGTTTTCTTGCTTTCTCTGAAGCGTATTCCGAAGCAGGTTTCATTCGCTTCTTAGTCCGCTTTACGTCTGTCCTCTTCTTAACTGTTTTCCCTCTCGCCTCTGGTTCATCAATGTTTGGCGAACCTTCTTTAGGGATGTCAGCAGTGGCCGACCAAGGTTGCTTTCTTGCACAAAAGTTTTTTTTTAGTGTACAGCAAAAATGTTTAAGATAACTGGTAAGAACTACCAGTGTATTGGTACAAAAATGAGTCTACATGTATATGCTACAACAACTTACTTGCAGCAGTATTCGCGATTTCCTCACCAGACACCTTCAATTTCTCCAATCCTTCAAGTAACATCTGGTAAAACTCGTCATTTGAAGAAAGACGGATGGCCATCACATTCAACATCCTTGTCAACTTTTTTACCCTTGCTACTAAAGAAGATTCCTGCGGTTGACTAGGTTGTTGTAGGTTAAAAGCTATGTCTTCCCTTGCATGCCTAGTCCATCTTTTCAATATATAATCCTTGTTGATCTCCTTCAGTTCTTGTGTCTCCGGTCACGATCGTAAGTGGTCCATTATTTTTAATATGTGCTTACACAAAGCAAATATGCGAGACTTTTCCCATACTCATTCAGGAATTCTTTGAGTACTTTATATGTGTACAAATTCTTTACCTGGTCGGTAAATGGGCATTTTGAGTAACGAACAGGAGGTGCTTCATTGACCAACTGGTAATCCCTTGTTTTTTCGTTTTCTGTTTTCTTTTCAAGCATTCTGTCGAACTGCTCAAAAAATTGGGAGTAGTTGTGGTCTGACTTTAGATACTTTCCGTAGGTTGCTATTGCATAATTCACTGAGTTGGGAGCTTCTCATTCCATTTGTTCTATGCTCTCGCAGACCCAGCCTAGACCATTTATGCCTGCAATGGTGAAATATGGTACAAAGTATAAGGTTAGTGGTAGAAACTACCACTACATTTATGGTCAGCATGATACAACACTTATAAGTATCACTGGAGTGGTACTTATATGATAACCCAATGAAAACAAAACAAGTAAAGAAGGACAACAAACCTGTGTTTACGTAGCTTCGCTAACCAGCGATGTCCGTATGGACCTTTCCCTTGAAAAAAGGTTTCGATCATTCTGGTCCATACATGATCGAATTCATCCTCTGTGTCAACGTTATGCATCAAGATTTGAATCTCTTGCCTTACTCCAGAGTTGTAAAGTGTAGGGGTAAGTTGAACCATCCCATTTTGATGAATATGTCAGGTGCAAAGACCATGGAATGATTCACAGAAATGTTTCTTAATTGCTACCGCTAATACTTTGGCCTGGTCGGTGAATATAGACTTTGGCTGCTTATCAGACATACACTTAAGAAATTGTTGGAAAATCCAGGAGAAGTTTTCTGTTGTTTCCTCGCACATCAGGCCCACACCAAAAATGCACAGCTCTCTGTGATTATTGAAGCCGACAAATAAAGCTGTAACAATGAACATGTATCACAAATGTCAGATGAGAACTACCAAAACAATGAAATGTATCAGTACTTTGATAGTTGGTAACACTGATTAACGTACATAATGATCTGCATCCATTGTTGGTACGATACGTCGTGTCAAAACTGATTGCATCCCCAAAACAATCGTAATCAAACCTCATTTTACCGTCAGCGAAAAAAATGGTTGAAATCTCATCTTTCTCATCAACTTGCATCTCGGTGAAATAGGACGGGTCGCATTTATCCTTGCTCTTGAAATGCTGATGAAACATGTTAGCCTCGCCCCGGGTGAAAGGCTTTTTTCTTGTTTTCTGGATATAGTTCTTCAAGTCCGTTTGAATAAAAGGCAAATTTTCCTTACCTCCTGCCGTAGCCGCAAATGAATCAAAAGTATTCGAAACCGGGATCCCAGTAACATCATTTATTTTTGCAAAAAAAGCATATTCAGTAGTTACTTCCCGATTCGAGCGCAAGAATCGTCGTGAGGCTACATCATGTAACTCATGGTCGTGGACATCTGTCCATTTATCAATTCTGTAATTTCTGGTGTTGTGCTCATACCTGCACCTTGCAATTGCTTTGCAACCAAAACGAGTCTCACCCCTATCCCTTTCATTATCACTGTCATAATCCACGACATCTTCTTTATTTTTGGGATCCAATATGCTGCCTTCTTTGTAGCCCCCTTTGTTGCACCTCCCTCCAAAGTAAAATACAAATGGATGTGGAAAGTATGATCTTTTCTTGTAAATTGCACCAGTCTTTCTAACTGAGAAGCCTCTTCCATGAGCAAAATTCTTGTAGAACCTAATAAATTCATCCTCGTCCTCAAAACGCAAATGCTTCCATGTCGACTCGTCTTCTGGGACCACGGTGCCAACCACACCTGAGTTTATAACAAATTTGTATCAGAAGAGCTGTTTGGAATTGTGCAATAAATTGTAAAACAATACCAATGCAGTGGTACACGATCTCTTAATACCACTACAGTGGTACTTATTGATTTGAAAAGTCGAGAGCCACATAAGTATAGATTCTTACTGAGACAATTCTGCTGTTCCTCCACGACTCCAACGGGCTCGACATTTGGAATGACGATATCAGGCGCATGCTCCACGGAGGCCGGATCGTCCAGATCATCAGGATGTTGATCAGAGTCGTAGCTGGACTGCCCAAGTTTTAAGAGATCGTCGTCGTTGCTGGTATACTCTACGTTGAGGTCAAATCCGATGGAACGCTTGCCGGCGGACTTGTGTAAATAGGGACCTCCGATGTAAGCATCCATTTATGCAGCTGATGGATCCCGCCGGCCGTGGACAGAATGGTTCTCCACGGCAATGGATAGAAATAGCAGAGGAGGGAGGGGGAAATAGAAAGCAGGGGAATGGGAGTAGAAACGCCACAATCTCCATCCAGGGATCCAACTAATTTGCCCCTTCCCATGCATAATTAATATGACAGTTAAGCCTTTCTCCGTGGGTATTTATTTGGGACAGCCATTAATACTTGTCTAATAATTAAGTGTAAAACGGACCAATCAAAAGGAGGGTGTCAAAAAACAGACCCCTTTAGGGGTTAGCATGGTATCCGACCCCATGTGAAAGACTTAATCATACCATATGCAATTAATGCTTTTAACTTTCGAACTATGATATATACATCATCAATTAATACAATACCTTTTTTTTGTTGGCAATCAAAACCAGAAATATTGAGTAGCTAGGTCATGATTTTACATAAACATATTACGAAAACTGATCATATGTACAAAAGAGAGCCATTGATAGCTACTCAGAGGTAATGTCTTCATTTTCGACGCCTTCCTACAAGAAGATGCGAACCACAGCAAGGCCAACCGCACAAAGGGAGAAGGAAGTAGCAACGAAGTACTTGGTAACATCATACTTTGCTGCTTCCAGTTGGGCCCTTAAAGCATGCGTCTCCTGCCAATACACAAACAGACACACACACACATTGCATTACAAGATCAAAAGACTTGTTTTTTTTTTTCATAAGAAAGGATCACAAACGCACAGTAACGATAGAGACTCACTCTATCGAGTTTGTTCTCCAGGTGAGTGGTGTCGGCTTTTTGCTGAGTTAACTCGTCTCTTATCCTCCTGTTATTGTCATTCATATCAAATTAATTTGGAGGTTAAGAAGTGCCGCTGAAAACAAGATGCACTATTTGGAGAAATATACCCTTTCTCGAGGTTCCAATCCAATCTTTGCCCGGCATTGACCTTGTCTATTTCATGCCTGTTGTTCACCAAAATACAGACCCATTTTAATTTTATTTCAAAACTACACTCTTGACCCTCATGAAAAATAGTGGGAAATGAAGGTTCTGACAAACTAATATTTTTGGTCTTGCTATGTAAACAGAAAATAATCATTGGATAAATTTAAGGTAATGTATGGGGGCGATTTTATTAAAATTATAGGGTTAATAAGCATTTTTTGTCCATTTTGTATGAATATTTTTCTAACGAGTTCTTGTAATATACCCAAAAAAAAAAACAATTATTACTCGACTATAGTTACCGTACCAATTACCTAGCCTTAGTAAAAAAAATCTCATTCTGAATTCCGTCAATCACAATTGGAACGAGGTTACAAATATCTGGAATTGGCTCAAAATCGGATCATTTCGAAATTCTTCATGGCAAATTGATCTATCCAAATTTGTTGCTAGCAAGAGAATCAATTTGACTCAATTGTCCAACTGAATCAAATTGATGCAGCAGAGTCGAGAAACATTTGACAAATGAGAATAATGAGGTGAGAAAAGTGGAAATGTATATAGGTATAATATGCCCCTCTACTATGGCATATTATCAAACATGCCCTCTACTATTTTTCACATCAAACATGCCCATGTACTTTGACAAAATTATTAAACATGCCCTTTTGCTAAAATTTCCATTGAAAAAATCGTCAATCATGGTTGAACCGAGATTTAGACGACCCGACATCGACAAATGAGAGGGAAAATATCAGTTCCGTCCCCCGTTTTTTTCTCTGGGTCTATTCAAAGTGAAATTATTTGGCTATACAAAAGAGCAAAAAAAAAAATTCTAAAGTGAATTTATTTGGGATATTTTAGACATTTGTCTGCCCAAACCAAAGTTCGGCGTTGCTTAACGGTTTTTGGATGAAAATTTTAAAAAAAGAGCATGTTTGATAATTTTTACAAAATACAGAGAACATGTTTGATGTAAAAAATAATAAGAAACATGTTTGCATCATAACAGATGGGTATATTATACCTATAACCCTAACGACGCGGGTAGCATATATCGCACCTGAGGTCAGTACGGGTCTTGTCAATATCATTCTGCATCTTCTCGGCAGTCTTGTCAATCACATTCTCCATCTTCTCCGCCTCGCGTTGTAACAATGAGAAATGATGCTCCTGCGTACATAAATAGACAAGTAATTAAATTAAGCATCTCTAATTAATAATAAAGAGCTCGCTCGAAATTGGCGGGAATCAGAAGCATAAATAAGTACCTGCTTGCTTTGGATCTCGGATTTGAACTTGCACAGGTTGGTCTCTTGTATCATCTCATTCTACCACCAAAAAATGTATCCATCCATCAGCCTCTGAATCACAAACACAATGTTTGCATCCCAATAATGTCAAAACGGTGAGGAAGCAAAGCAAAGCAAAGCAAACCTTCTCCATCTCGGTCTTGGATACGACTGATTGGGCCACATTTTCCAAGCTATCGTTCAAAACTTCAGTGATTACAGCGGTGATCGCCTCTGCCTGGTCCAACGGCAGCCCTCTCGCCTCCAACCTCCGCGCCTGAAATTCCATAAATCACAAACAAACTGTTAGGAACGGAACAACAACAGTGAACGAGATTAACGAATCTGGAGCTGTGTCGCGGACTAGGTCGCTTTCTTTAATACGTTCGCGGCACTACCTTCATCGGAGCTCTCTATTGTGTTTCTCCAAAAAAAAAATATTAGTCTCAATTAAGACCCACCCACCTGGTCGGGTCCAAGAGGCTTACCCCAAACAGAAAGATACCTATCTTTATGCACACTTCACAAGTATAACCCCCAACGTGGTATTTTTCCATTTTTGACTTATAGCTTCAAAACTAATCACATTTCCATCACATTTTCCAACACACAAACTATAAATAAATCAGTAATCGACGACGAAGAAGAAGAGAGATGAGGAGACGAACGAGGGCTAAAGTGTCGACGAGGAAGACGTGATTTCCGGTTTCCTTAACAAGGTCGGAATTTCCCCTGCAACCGCGGACGGGATTGAGCAGGTTCCTATCCAGAGGAAAACCATGGCTGTGAGCAGAACTGAATCCTCTTCTGATGGTGGAGGCATTGTTGTTCCCAAACCCAAGCTTCCCGAGACGCCTACAAACCGCGGCAGCGGCCATCGGAGCGAGCTAGGGATTAATTTAATTAATTGATTTGACACAGAGAGTTCGTTTCTTTCGTGCGCGCTACTCTCTATAGCTTATGCAACAAGAGACAGGAAACGATAATCACGACCACCAGAAAGATGAAGAAACTGGAGGTCACCATATCGATCCGGTTCCTTGCTTTTAATTGTCTAATAGTGATTGCTTTTTTTCCCCCTCCCTGCAATTGCTTCATTCTGTTTCAGATTCTCGAATCGATAAACTGGAGGACAGAAACGAGCGTCAATTTTGGGGTAAGCTAGCCAAGGGAGGAGATGGATGCGTTTGATTGGACGGTGAGGAGGGAGCAATGCATGCATCTATCTATTTATATGCCTCAGATATATTTATCAACAAATTCGGAGGGAGTGGGTTTATTTTAGGGATGAAAATGGTTCGGGTTGGGTCGGGTTTTGTCAAATCCAAATTCATGGGTTTATCCGCCAAAAAAATCCGGGGTAAAACCCGTTGGGTTTGAAAAACTCAAACCCAACCCAACCCGTTGGGTATCCGCGGGTTCATGGGTACCCGTGGGTTTTTGTGGCAAAAATTTACAATAACAAGTTTCTTTCAAAATAAAAGTTCAACGTCAATTTTCTTATACAAATTAAACATACAAAAAACACCAATCTAGAGCATACAAGCAAAGCGCAAATGATCAATACAAATTATTCAAAATTAAAGATAAACATATATAAACAATAAGATTAATTGAAAGTTTCTTCCACGTCAACTAAGTTTCTTCACTCTCCACTTCATAATATCAACTTCATTCTAAACAATTAGAAAGTACAAATCATACATGTCTCCACAAACATATAGAATATTAGTTGTTTAAGAAAGATATATTATTTAGAATATTAAATATACCGGGAAAGTAATTATATGTGTGTGGGCGGGTACCCATGGGGCGGGTTTACCTAAACCCAAACCCAACCCGACCCGGTGAATAGTGTAGCGGGTTTAAACCCGAACCCGACCCAAAATCCGTCAACACGGGTTTTACCCACGTTGACTGGGTTGGGTCGGGTGGGTACCTGTGGGTTCGGGTTTTGTTGCCATCCCTAGTTTATTTGTGCTGAATCGCTATTCGTCGCTCTAGAATTCAAATTTTATCGCCCTAAAACGTATTGAATTGACATATTTAGCCCTGAACAAAATTTATATTATCCACTGCAGGGACTCATATGTCTAGAAGGCGGCAGCTAATTTGCTTTATTCTTTCCACCCAAAAAAAATTGCTTTTCTCTTTTCTGGACTTCATCTCTACCCACCTCGAAGAAATGCTTCTTCTTCTTCCTTACTCCTACCGTCAAACCCCGGCGAAGAAAACGCTCATACCTTGGTCGCTCCTACCTTCATCTCTCTTCCAACGCTTCTTTTTCCTCGTCTCTAGATGAGCGATTCGCACCGTCGGCGAAGAGACCCGACGATCCGTCGTCTCCTCACCGCGTCAGTGGTCGGTGGTCGTTGACGTCGCTGAGCTCCTGATCGCCCGAGCCCACAGACTCCGACTGTGCGGATCCCAGAGCTCACAGACTCCTCATTCTAGTCTCCCTCCTCCTCGTCTTCGTCTCACTCAGCGCCACCTCACAGACTCCGAGCCCATCACCCGTCGCCGACTCTGATTCCAATTCCAATTCCCTGTCGTCTCCGTCTCCCGAATCCAGAACTTCGTCCCCTATTTCCAACTCCCCGGTTCACGACCTCACCATTCCCGGTTCTCGATGTTCAAAGGGTGGGTTGAAGCTGAAGGATTTACTTCCCTGACCCTATCGCCTCTCCGCACCCTAGGAACCCGAGCTTGATCTGCGACGCAACATCAAATCTCGCGGTGACTCTGTCTCCTACACGATTATGTAGGATTTTAATGGAGCGTTAAAGGAATTAGAGACGAAATAGACAAGAATCGATAATTGGGTCTTAGATTTGGAGAGGCGGAGGCATTCAATTAGGGCTCTCAGACGCCATGAGAAGAAGAGTCAAACTTAGAGGTTTTGGTTGGATTTGAGTTTGTGTGGCAGGTCATTGAGTTCATCCACTGCACAGCGGCGCTCCAGGAGGCAGGGATCTGGTTCGAGAAAGACGAGACGAGGTCGTTGTTCGACCTGATGTTCAGAGGTGGAAATCGACGACGAGAGGGTTCTATTGCGACAAAATCAGCGGGAAGAGAGCGCTCGAAAACCTCTCACTTGGCCTCACCACCGTCCGACAGAATCATTCTCAGTGTGATCTGATTGATTGAGTGGATAATTGTTGGGTTAATTACTTATGAAACGAATTGAAATTAAATTAGGGATTTTGATCAGGTCAGAAGCATCAGAAGGGAAAGGGTAAATAATGAGAAAGAAGACTTCCTCTGCTGCTCGACTAAGACCTAGAGCAATAATAATAATAATAATAATAATAATAATTTTCCTGGAGAAAGACAAAGCCCAATCAAACTATATGTAAAGAAGAATTAGAAACAAATTGTTTGCTGATGTATCTCCATCAAATGAGACAGACGGGTCAGGAATCCTTTAGATCGAACAGGTTTTATTAGGCAGAGTACTTCAATTTGCTAATACGTAGTAAACAATATCTTCTACATAGATAAGTACCGAAATGATGAACCATGTAGCTAAACAATCTATACTACATAGATAAGTACCGAAAAGATGAAATAATGTAGCTAAACAATCTCTATTACATAAATAAGTACCGAAAAGATGAACCATGTAGCTAACACAATCTCTAATTCATAGATAAGTACCGAAAAGCTAAACAATGTAACTACTCAAGTTCTACATGCTCCGGCTCACCCTTGTCCTATTTGCTCTGCCGATGTCCACCAAGAGTGAAAAACAATCTTCTTTCCTCCTGGTACATCAATGACCAAGAACCAACAGTTTCCATATGGCGAAGATGAGACCACTGAAAACTAAATGGAGGCATCGGTGTAACACCTCCGACATCTGCAAGTTGAAGTCGGACCCAATGTACTCCAGTATGAACAAGGGCATAAACATTAACTGGAGATGTTTTCCCTGGTGGCGCTGTCACGGGTAATGCACTATACCCATATGTCCCATCAATTTCTCTCCCGAAGACTGAAAAGGCACAATTGAACATTGTCGCGAATGCTAGTAGATCCACCCCCTCAAACCAGTACTCGTTGCCACACCATCCTGACTTCTTTTGATCCAACCTTCAAATTACTTCCTCTAGTGTCCCATCGTAATGTATGCTGTATATAGAATCCCATCGGCTAGTAATCTCTCCAATAACAGCTTGCCTCATCTCTAAGTAGTAACCCTCGTCCCCATGAATCATGTGTGAGATTGCTTGAAACCCACAATGACCATCCCCATCGGGGTCAAACCAAGCTCTAACAATATGGTGTATGCTAGATGGGATGTACTGGAGGTATGGGCACATATTTCTCTCACTATGGAATTGCCACAATTGACTCTTTCGTGCATTACCTATGAAATCAACCAAGTGGAAAAATATGGAAACTCTTATTAAAAAAACAAACACACAAACAAAAAAACAATACAATCAAAATCATCTTAGTGACTAACCTATATGTCTGGACCTCGTCGGGGGAGTGGGATCCGACATCGGGGGAGTGGGATCCCTCATCGGGGGGCTTGTCCTCGTGGTATTACTTCTGCGTGCCTCTCGTGAACTCTCGTGCTCAACCCAAGAACGTTTTCGGGCGTTCTCCCTCCTAGGTGGTCGACCCCTCGGAATCTCTGCATCCCTAGGCTCAAGAAGACCTATGTCCTCGAGGAGAACATGAGCTCGAAGTGATGGAATAGCTGCTCGAATAAAATTTGGCCCTCTACAACGTACCTTTTCCACCATGTGGTCGAAAATATCGCTCTCAATGGCATCATGGTCCTCCCGCTGTGCACGATCAGGTGGATCATGGTAGTTTAAAGAAGACCAGAAACGATGTAAGTGGTGCGGATACAATTCTAAACCGTTGTTATTGAATCTCTGCATTGTGCATAAACATGGAAGTCCATATGTCTCTGGTAGCACGCAACCGCACCTCTCAACATTCTTCATACTTCCTTCTCCCCTCAATAACTCAATCGCCCATGAACCGACCTTGTTGTTCAAGTGCACGAAAGGCAGTCCATATGCCCATGTAAATACCTATTGGAATGAACACACAATCTAAATAAGAGAAATCATATGCAAATTAAAATCACAATTCAATTAAAGTGAATTACGCGATTCCTTTAGGTCCTTTCGCAATTCAATCACTCTACCTTTGACACAAGCATGGAATCTCATGAAGAGTGAATCAATCTTGTGCCTAGAAGTGTTAAGCCATGACTTCAAAGAGGAGTGAGATGATTCCAACCTATTTGTGCTCGTGTTGCCAATATGAAACACACGGTTGGTGTAGCAATGAGCCCACTTTCTCGCACAAGATAACCACTCGCCTCTCAAGTAGTCCATCAACCGTCCATTGTCCCCCCAACGACTATTTTGTAAGTCCACCCAAGCACTATCAAACCCTTCTTGGGTATTGGCATACAACAATGTTCCCCAAGGACCTTCAACAAAACCCTCTGCGACTTCTCTACTCATTCGAAAGCTCATAAGTTTGGCTTCAATGTTGTTCTTCATATGCCATACACATAATAAGTGAGTAGATTCCAGAAAGATCTCGCGCACAGCAACACCCAATCCTCCTTCCTTATTTGTGACAATAGCATTTGGGATCCTACCACCAAGCACACTCTTTAGCCTCGACAAAACCCAAGTATACGTCTCCTTTTTTTCATCTTCCACAAATGCAAACCCAATGTTAAAGTTCTTTTGCACCGGAGTAACACCAACCAACTGAACCAATGGCTTCTTATGCTTGTTGGTTTTGTATGTCGTGTCTATCAGAACAACGAAATACCAAGCTCTCAACATTTGAATAGACTCCGGGTGGCAAAGGAAGAGATTAGTGACATGACGATCAATATCAAATTCACACTCAACGAAATACCCGAGCTTTTGAGCTTCCTTCAATGTCCACTGCATGGGTTTCATGCCACCCAATCTCTGTAGCCGAACCTTGTTGGTTTCATTGTAAATTTGTTTCATGTTGTGGTGAACATCATACTTGTCACTGAGAGACTTCCTCATTCGTTTCGGTTGAGTCATCGCTGCCTCCATTTCCTTGATGTCTTCCTTCTTCTCCTTCGTGAGAGTATTTCTTTGGATGCTCCCTTCAGAATAAAGCTCAAGTTTGTGATTATGAAAACCCCTCACACCAGCAATTCTCCATTTCAAAGAACCATCCCCAACTATTGCACGTACTGCCACTCTGAATCGGCAACCCAACTTGCCCGTCTTTGTATTATTCCGCCTTGGCTTATCAGGATCTGGGATATATGCTATGCTCCTGCAACCATGGTTGCAATCCATATATGTCCGTGAATATTTTTCTCCTCTATTTTTCTTGATTGTTGACACTATCAAGAAAAAACTAATAGATTTTGCTATCTCCTTTGCTGCTTCCCGAGCTTTGTCCTCAGTATCATAAAAACCTGCACTTATGAAGAATTGGGTGTAATCAACTTTGTCACCTTCGTCATCTCGAGAACCTCCCTACAAAAAAACATACGAAAATTTTCAAACCAATCCACCAGAAGTCAATATAATTTTATTTATTTATTTATTATAAAATTTATTTAAATAAGTACTTACCGTATTACTCATACCAAACTTCTTATTATATCAACGATGTTGTCAATTGTGTAGCAAACTTCAACAAAGTTGTCTCCCTAATATACAATAATATTAGTACAAATTAGAGAAAATTTAATCCAACAATTAAATAAATTATGTCCGGGACATGTGATGCGATAAAATGTATATGTCGATTATCGACTAAGTACTAAAAGTAATTAATATTATCGTTGCACAAGGATTGGTACAACTTCATATTTGACGATTATACCAAGGAAGTGAAAGAACAAAAGTGTTTTTTAGTAAACGAAAGACATTATAATAACAAAACTAGAAAACAAGTAGAAAAATCAACAAAGAGAAGCTCTCGGAAAAAAGGGCCTGAAATTCACTACCTAATTACCTTATTCAATTCGTCTACATGAGAAGGACAAATAATTCGAATCAAATCATAGAAATTCGATAGCTACATCCTACTGTCTTCCCCAAAAACTAAGGTTTAGTTCATAATCATGGAAAACAAAGTAACGAATAATTCTAGGTTCAACATCCAAATGCTATTCATGAGCTAGATGGTAAAATTATTGTTTACTGAAGTGGTTGTTTTCACTTTTTGCTTCATGTGGTTGTATTTGGATGTTTCTGGTTCTATGCTGGGTCTTAACATATTAATTATAATATGTAAAATGTTACCCAGGTCGTTTTGCACGCGAATGCCGCTCACGTGGTGGTTCAGGAAGTAGACGAACTTAGTTCGAGGTACAGAAGGAGTCTCGTTTATGGCCTAAGGTTATGTTTGGAATATATTTCTGCATCTTCTCGTAACTTCTGTCGACCTATATGAGTTGTTAGTTTGACTTGGGCTGCTCTATGGCAGGAGGTACAGTCCTCGTGGTGGAAGATCTCCCAGACGCCGGAAACAGAGCATCAATGGTTGTGGGAGTGGCAGTAGCGGCAACCGGAATTCTGTTGGTGGGTGGTTGCACAACCAGCAGCACAACGGATGAGGGTGGGAGATCGGGTTGAGATGGGATGAATGTGGCGGTGGCGGTGAGCAGAATTCGCCGGAAGCTCCTACGGGCAGTGGGGTTGGCAGCATAATTTTTTCTCCCATGCAGTGGGGTTTGCAGTGGGTAGGGACGAGCGATTGTTTGTTGAGTATTTAGGTTAGAAATGGATGTTAGGGATAAATGTGTCAATTTAGTGTGATTTAGGGCGATAAAATTTAAATTTTAGGGCGACGAATAGCGATTCAGTTATTTGGAGGATTTTGGTACTAGCTTGTACTTGGCACGTTGGTCGAAATGTTCAATTAGGTCAAATTATATATTTTTTTAGTAAATTTGGTACTATTATTTATTCAAGAGTAACACCAATTTATACATTTGTCATTGAGTTATGTGGATTTTTTGGATAGAGCGGATTGTTGGGTTTGCTCTGGCTTCTCGGCGCTAGTGTTTTGATCATGATACTGATTGAGAATGACTTATCATTCTGCAGCCTAAACTTTGGAGTCATTTTTTTCATTAGGGCGTGTTTGGATATGTGTATTTCAAATGTAAGGTATTTGAAATACACATATCCAAACACGCCTTTGAAATACATGTATTTAAAAGGCTTGCTGTATTTAATAGTGACATCCGCCCGGTCATCCTCTACCCGCCGATCCCAGCAAACAACTTCGAGATCAAGCCATGCTGGATTCAGCTCATCACATCCTCGATCCAGTTTCATGGCTTGAAGGATGAGGAGGCCAGGGTACATCTGTCCCGTTTTCTGCAGCTGACAAACGGGTTCAAGCTGAACGGTGTTCCCGATGATGCGATCCGCCTTCATCTCTTCCCCCATTCTCTGGCGGGGAATGCTAAGAGGTGGTTGGAGACCCAGCCCCCATTGTCCATCACCTCTTGGGACGATCTGGATGACAAATTCGTGCACAGGTACTATCCGGCATCGAAGACTACAGAGATTCAGCGGGAGATCACTCACTTCCGCCAGGAGCCAGATGAGTCGCTTCGTGATGCATGGGAGCGGTACATGGGATACTTCTGGCAGTGTCCCCATCATGGCTTCAGTGATGCATTCACAGTGGGGAACTTTTACAGTGCCCTCTCTCCAGATAGCCAGAGGGTGATTGAGTCTCTATGCCCAGGAGGGGATATTCTCACTAAGACTCCACCCGAGCTGAACCAGATGATCAGTACTTTGGCTGCCAGAGATCATTCTTGGGAACAGGGTAGCCGAGGCAGACAGTCCCGGGACCGTGGTGTGCACGGCATGGAGACCAGATCCGGGCTCGAGCAGCAGGTAGCTGAGCTAGTGCAGACATTGAAGCAGCCAACAGTCTGATTCCGGGCAGAGGTTTGGCTACACCTCCAGTAGCTCAATGTCAGTGGTGCGAGAGCTCCAATCACCTAGTGGAGGACTGCCAGGCTATGAGGGAGTCTACCACACCCCAGGAGCAGTTGGCCTTCATCGCCAATGCGAGGCGCCTCGATCCATACAGTAGCACATATAATGAGGGGTGGCGCCAGCATCCCAACTTTGCCTGGAGCGGCAACACCACTAAACCACCTGGTTTCCCAGCACCAGCAGGTGGTTTTCAGCAGAGGCAGCCCTACCAGGCTCGATAGGGGCCAGTTCCACAACAGCCATTCCAGCAGCCCCAGCGCCAGTTTGCCGAGCCAGCAGCAGCTCCAGCCCCAGATGACAGGATGACGAAGCTGGAAAACATT